TGGGGATTTATTTTTTAAAAATTTTGAAATTCAGAAAGACTTAATCTATAACCTTTATGACTTTCCAGTGTCATTTGAATGATCTCTTCCTTCAGTTTTAGAATTTTAGATCAGGGATCTTGTTACTGTTTTTGGCACAATTTTGTTTGCTGAACATTTATGGCATAGCATTGCCCTTTGTGTTCAGAGGTGTTTATGATGTTGTTTCTCTTGGGTGTACTCGTTGGAAGATCTGCCTTTCTCTTCAGTTCCAATGAACAGAAGAAGAACACATAGCACTCTGGTTTGTTTTACACCTGTTGGTCTTACATTTTTGTCGCATGAACTGCAAAGTAATGTGTTACTGCTTGTTTGTTAATTGTTACTCTGTGTTTCCTGAGAGCTGGGTTTTACAAAAACTGCATATATCTTATTTTATCCATTTATTCATTCACTCAACAAATGCTTCTTGAATACTGATGACTGCCAGGCAATTTACTAGTCATTGGTAATACCACAGAATATAAGACTATCCTTCCTTTCCTCAATGATTTCCCACTTTTCTTGGGTCAAGCTGCTATAAAAGACATTATTTTCCTAGTATTAGAAAAGGTGTTTTGGGTCTGTAATAGTAGTCAGTGTTCCATTGGTATTTGAAGCAAGGTAATATATGCCTAAAGATGTTTAATGGCTACAAAGTGATTGTAAAAAAAAAAGAATATTTTCTGGCAGAAAAAAAATAAAGGTAGACTAAAACAGCAATCTGATTCCTATAAGGCTCATCTTCCTATTTTTCGACATGGTTACTGACACTTCCTTTTTATTTATTTTTCTTGACACTTCCTTTTTTACAGCTATCTTTGTGTGTGCTCTGTTATTTTTACCGATATTTTAAGTACAAATAGTTAATTTTCTAAGTTGCTTCATGCAAAAGGATGAGCTTGATTGTACCAGGCAAGGCTTTCCTTTCTCATCTCCCATGTAAATCAGTTCTTCCTTACTGTCCAGTGGTATCAGCTGTGGGTTACTCAGTAAGATAGAACTGGAGAGAGTGCACTTGGGTTTTATTGTCGGACTCACTGGAAGCTATCTCTTGTTGGGCATTTTGGGGCAGGGAAGGAAGGAAGGCTGTACCATGGTGGGTGAGTGCAGGAGGGTGTAGGAGGCATGTTGAGCCCAGCAATGTCCTCCAAATTACATCCTGAACGTAGAGACCTTCTTGTTGGCCTAGGTATGTTTAGATGCAGTCCTTTCTCTGGAATAAAAAAGTTGTGGTAAGGATACAGTCCCTTTTGTTCTTTAAAGTTCTATACTTTAAAGAGGAAGAATTAACTGAAGATGTTGAAGTACAAGTTGAAGTTGTCTTTGGCAGGTGGTAGTCGTCAGGGAATAGTGAACCTTGAGGATCATTATCAATTGTCACAGTTAATTCTATCATTTCTGATTTCTTAGCTTTGTGGGAAGGAAAGGAAACGAAGAGTGATTTTATAATGCTTCAAAAATTAAAGTACTGATTTTTTCAGCTTATGGTAAATTCTCATCTGTGGGAGGAAGATCAGCAGAGTCCTCAAATTATTTGGATGATCCCTGATGGTTTTCTCTATAATCCTCTTGCCGCATCACTTTTTCTCTATGCAGTCTCCTCCTCAGCTTCTTTTTAGTTGAAGTCCATGGTCTATGTTTATAGTTACCACTTCTTCCAGAATCAGCATCCTTCTTATCCTCTCTCCATTCCAGTAAAACCAGCTGCTGGTTAAATCTCTCTGCCTACTCAACTCTCCACCCATGTCTACACCCAAGCAGCTGATTGTGGCTGGGGAAAACCACAACCGTCCTAATGGGTCTCACTTTAAATTTATGATGACACATCTCATAGGGCTCACCACATTTCCCCTGAGAATTTGCTTGCCCATTCTGCAAGACGCTATTTCGCGCTTTCTCCTTTCACCGCAAACCACTGACATTTCTCTTTTCCTATCCAGTTTCTTGTTTGAGAACATGAGAAATATGAAGATTACTTGGACATATTCCTACCACCAAATCTACCCACTGCCTGCACCTGTGCCTGCTTTCTCTGCCCTTCCTCCTGTAGTGGTGGTGGATGTATCTGTGCCAACCTGTGCCCTGGATCCCGTGCCCTGTCAGAGTAAAGAAGCTAACCTTACATAGCGACCACTACATGCTAGGCTTCGTTCTAAGTACTTTCTATATTAACTAGTGAAATCCTTAGAACAGCCCTGGGATGACAATGATAGGAATAATACCATTGTTACACAAGAAGAAGCTGAGGTGCAGCCAAATTCAGAAACTTGTCCAAAATTATAGCCACAATAAGTTCATGTGGCTCCACAGTCTGGATGTCACTGCTATATGATACCATGTCTCCCAGAATATGGCTCTGGCTTCTTCTCCTCTCTTTCTTGCATCATCATTACCCTTCTCTACTGGATCATATCCATCAACTTACAATCAAGTTCTAGTGTCTTCTATTTTTTTTAAAAAACTTACCTTTTACCCCATATTTCTCTTCAGGTATACCCTAATATTCCTGTTCTTTTTCCGCCAAATTTCTGGAAATAATTTTCTATATTTGGTTCATTTCTAGTTTTCTTTTGAACCACTCCAACCTGGCTTTTGTCCCGATCCTTCCATGGGGGAAACCTTTGGTGAGTCACTAATACCCTTCTGATGGCAAAGCCAGAGGGACATTTGCAGTCTTATTCAGCCCCTTGGAAATGCTTTATTCTTTTACCTTACTGCACATGACACTCTTCTTGGTTTTTCTCCTATGTTTGTGGTCATTTCTTTGACTCCTTTGTGGAATCCCCCTTGACTGGCTAACCTCTAACTGGTAGATTGCCCAGAGCTTGGGCAGGACTACTGCCCTTTCTGTCCACACTTTCCCTCTTGATGATTTCAACCAGTCTCAAGACTTGAGATATTATATGTGACTTATTGACTTCCAAACTTTATCTTTAGCTGTGACTTTCTCAATGACTTCCAGCATTCCATGTGGATATCATAGGCATGGCCATTGCACAATCTATCTCAAATAAAAATTCTTGATCTTTCTTATTATTCTTTAATTTCCATTTTCAGAAATGTGCACTTCACATTATAATTATCAGCAGGGCTCCACCTTCAAATTACATTCTAGGTCTGACCACTTTGAATCCCTTCCTGGACTGTACCCTAGTGCGAGAACCATCACCTGCTCCCTAAGTGTTAAGCAGGAGATGGCAGCTCACACTAACCTCCTAACCTCCTCCTAATGGGTCTTACTGCTCTGTCTCTTGCTCTGATATGGATAATTCTCCACCTTGTAGTCAGAGTCATTTTTAAAACGTATAATTTAGATCTGATCCATACGTATTCCCTCTTATTGCATTTCCATATTCTGTCTGTCCCTGTCCCCAGTTCAGTCTTCCTTGCTATGCATATTTGCCACAAGACTTTTGTTCTTGCTGTTCATCTGCTGTGAATACTTTCCATGTAGTCATTGACCTCAATTAAACAAGAGAATTTATTATTTTGGTATGGTCTCTGTTCGAATTTTACTTTATCAGAAAAGTTTTCCTTAATCTGTCCATCTAAAAATAAGAGCACCTGGCATTTTCTTTTTTCTTGACAGTTTATTTGTATCTACTTGTTTGCTGTATGTCTCCCCGAGTGGCATATGAACTCTGTGAAGTTAGAAACTTTATTGCTTTATTCATCATTCCTGGAATAGCACCCATTAGGTGCACAGTAAAAATATGTTTAATTTTTGGAATAGTGACAGTTATTAAATCCTACAACATTAAAGGCCCTATAAGAATAAAAAAAGACAAGAGTTATTGTTTTTTTCTTTTTTGCATTTCTGGGGATTAAACTCAAAGCCTTGCACATGCTAGGCAAGTACTCTAACCCTGGTCTAAACCCCTGACAGGAGCTAATATTTTTTAAAAGTCACAAAACCTCTAAATGATACAGGATGATGGGTATGTGTGAAGAAGGTTGTTTGGGAACAAAAGAAAGTCTCAGAATTCTTGAGTTGCTTTGGTTGTTTCTGCTCCCTGTTCCCTGTTGAGTAACCACTGTGTGGACCCCTAATGGAAGAGATGGAAAGAAAGGCCTTCAGTGAACTCTCTGAGCTTTGGGATGCATCCATGGTTGGGGGAGTTGGAGTATTCCTAGAAAATTGAAATAGGTAAAACAATATAAATTTGTGATCTTATATTCCTTAAACCCATTTAACTTGAAGCACTGAAAATGACAAGTTATAGATGTTAACTCTGATGATGGTGATAATGACAATTTTTTCCACATATTGCTTTTCTGACTCTCCTTGGTACATATCCTGTTTCCCAGTTTCCTGTAGAGTGGGATTGAGAATGTGGATGCAGTTGTTTTCTTGGGTTACTCCTCCTCAGGGAGAATAGGACCCAAGAGCGGATTTTGGTGCCTCTCTCACTTTACATTGTTGTGAGATATGTTCTCTGATGTGAAAGAATAGAAGGAAATGCCAATATAATGAATTCACCTCTTTAATATTTTGAGAGCAACTGTTTTTTAAGTTCTGTTGGTATTTCTGTGTTAATTTCTAACATACACCTTTCATGACCTCTGGAACACAGAAATGGGATGTTTCTTACCCCTGTAAATATAAATTACTTCAATAACAACTAATAGTACCTGAACTTTGATTCTCAGTAAGCATGATGCATGATATTTATCTGACATAATATGGTTTTTAAAAAATGTGTGGTGTATAGGGTTGGGGATATAGCTCAGTGGTAGAGCACTAGCCTAGCATGCACCAAGCAGTTCAATCCCCAGTACTACAGTGAAATAAAATAAAAGGTATATGGTGGGTGCATAATCCTGCAAAGCTCACATCATCTGACTGGCTATAAAAATTGGTATTCAAAGACTCAGTGTGAGTTTTGGGTAGTGTTTGGATCAGCTGAAAAGATCTGTGTGTTTTGAGAACGTGCTCATTGTATATTTTCATGTTTCCCTTTGATTTCTATTTTGCCCAGAGGGAGAAGAAGATGACGATGAAGAGGATGAAGAAGATGAAGAGGAAGAAGAGGAAGATGAGGAAGAGGATGAGGAGGATAAAGATGCAGACTCCCTGGATGAGAGCTTTGATGGCGACTCTGAGGTGCCGAGTTTCACTCTCCCTGGCATCACATCCCAGGAACCCGGCTTAGAGCAGGGAAACATGGACCCTTTGGAGGGAGCCACCTACCAGGTGCCCGATGCCATTGAGTGGGAACAGCAGAATCAAGGCCTGGGTAAGAGTCATGTATTTCCCTCTCCTTCCTTCTTCTTCCTTTACTGTTCTAAGGTGACAACTTTCTATCTTTGGCATCTGTCATGGAGCAAAATAATTTTTCTGTTTATGAGTAGTTCATTTGGGGGGAAAAGTCAGTTATTTCTTTAAGAAATTTATGTTTATAAATAGCAGATTCCAACTGTCCCTGATGAGAACAGTTATCTGATTTTGGGAAGGAATCCCATTTTTTCCTTCTCAGCTGCAAGCATTTTAGGAAGACTTGCAAGTAGGGAGGAAAAGCGCGCAACCAATGTTGAGCAAGAGCACAAATGCATGGGAGTCAGAAAGCAAATGTGTTTTGTCATCTTCTGTCCTTTCAGAATTTTTTCCTCAGGAGACATTCTTCCTCTGCCAGAATGTGAGCATTGGGGTTGTCCTACAGCTTTTCTGTTTATTGTCCAACACAGTCTCCTCTCACCAGCTGAGAGTCCAGATATCCCTGAGCTTACTCTCTCCAATGCATGGTTCATGTTTTCCACAAGACACTTGGAGAATGCAGACTGTATCCCTGCCTGTCACTCCCTTCCTGCAACAGGGAAGCTCCCCAGTCTATTCTTTTTTTTTTTTTTTGGTCAGGAATAGACACTATTAACCTCCGAATGAGACAGTCAGTCTCTTTCCTCCCTCCTCTTCTTTTTGGCATTGGGGATTGATCCCAGAGATGTTTTACCACTGAGCTACATCCCCTGCCCTTATTTTTTTTTTTTTAATTTAGAGTTAGGGTCTTGCTAATTTGCTAGGGCCTTGCTAAGTTGTTGAGGCTGCCCTTGAACTTGCAATCCTTCTGCCTAAATCTCTTGAGTCATTGGGATTACAGATGTGTGCCACAATGTTTTGTAAGGCCCACTCTCTTGACCTGATGAGAAGCTACCTCTTTAAAAAAATCCCCTTCTTAGTTTTTAAACAGCTGGGCCTGTTTATACCTTCAGCCTGGCAGACATTAAGTTGAAGAATCATATGATTGTTTTGGGGGCTACTTCAGTGAAAATTTGAATGTGGGTCTGAGACTTTGCAAGGAGAGGGGATACTGAAGGGTTAGTGTCCAGTGGACAGGCAGAAGGTATTATTGCTGTTCATACGATATCTGCTGAACTGTTTTCTGAATAAATGCAGCATGATTTGGGCAATACATATTGACTCTAAAATATGTCAAATAAAACTGTTAAAAGTTTATAGAGGTATGAAAATATTATAAAATAAACACAAAATAATATGAACATAGGTCTGTGAACAGGTGGACAAATATTTAGTATGAAATACTCCTGTCCTACTCTGACAGGTTTTAAATGAATGGGAAAAAATACAAAATACAAAGATAACTTATTACAGTACAGGTTAAAAACAAAGAAAAAAATCTACACATAAAGTGATGCTATCATGTATACTGTAACAGTCTTTTTATCATGGAAGGATGAATTTTCAGGACTCTAGTGCTTTGCTAGGGAAGGGAGTGAGAGAGTTACCTTCCTACAGAAGGAGGGAGTTCATATGACACCTACCATTGGTTGTTGTCAAGGAAATAAGTTTCCTCACTTATGAAGTTGGCTTGCTGTCCATGAATAAATGTAAGTAATTGGAGGAACTGTGAAGAAGAAAAATGTAGAGAGGCTTCAGTCTGAAGTTGCAATGATTATGGGTTGTGGCCTTATAATGATCTTTAACACAAATTTATTACTGAATAGGAGTCAGATTTTTAAGGAATCATCAAGGTATATACTGCAAACCATAAGCTGCACCCATCTAAAGGGTACAAGTCAATGAGTTTTGACAGTTGTCAGCCTCACATCCACTTCACAATCACATGCAGAATGTTCCTGTTATCTCATCCCAGTGATTACTCATGCCCTCTGCAGCACCTCCTTTAGCCCTCAGCCCCAAGTCTACTTTTGACACTATAGATTAGTTTGCATTTTCTAGAATTTTATATAAATGGAATCATATGGTATATAGATTTTTGTGTTTGGCTTCTTTCACTTAGCACAGTGACTTTGAGATTCAGCTGTTTTGTATGGATCAGTAATTTGTTCCTTGTCATAGCTGGGTGTTACTTAGTTGTATGGATAGACCACATTTTGTTTTATCTGTTCACCTATTGATGAACACTTGAGTTATTCAAATTTTTACTTAATAGCAGTTAAATTTTAAGATGTGGTAGGCTTAAAGCTCAGGACAAATCATTCTGTTGTCTCCTGTCCTGCTTCTGGATTCCAACCCCTATACACAGCTAACATTTCATAAATTAGTGATTCCAATTGGTGGCTTGATATGCTTTTAAAAGTGATTCCTGCAGGTGCTAAGGCTTTTTTTCCCCCTTATTATTATAATACTTTACTATTTCCCTAGGTGTCTCTTACTTTTTACTCTTCTTTTCCCAATAAACTCGTTCTTCCACCCTGTTTTTAGCCTTATGGGTTTTGTGGAAACCAAAACAAGAATCAATTCAACCTGGTATTTTTTCCCACTGGGGAAGATTGTATTTTGAGGAGTGTCTAAGGCTCAAGATTTTTTTTAAGTCCCACCAACTTTTTCTTGGAGGGGCAAGGTTTTACCTCCTAACTCAAAGGCCAGTACCAGCTTCTAGGATAATATTAATTGATCCAGTTTCCTAAATATTTTCAGATAAGGTCCCTATTTGTGGCCTATTTTGTGGTACTAGAATAATGGCTTTCCTAGGATGTCTATGTCGTGCTCTCTGGAACCTGTGAGTATGTTACCGTACATGGCAAAAGGAGTGCGCTGATGTGATAAAGTTAAGATTCTTGAGGCAGGGATGGGAAGAAGATCCTGGATTGTCTGAGTGGGTCCAGTGTAATCTTCAAGTCCTCATAAGATGGAGGAAGGAGAGTCAGAGTCACGGAAGGAGATGTGATGACAAAAGCAAATGTTGGAGTGATGGGGCCAGGAGCCAAGGAAAGCTGGGAGCCATTAGAATCTGGAAAAGGGAAGGAAACAGATTTTCTTCTAGACTCCTTAGAAAGAATGCAGTGCTGCCAACATTAGTTTTAGAACTGGGAAACCTATTTCAGATTTTGGAATTTCAGAACTGTGAGATAATACATTTGTGGTGTTTTAAGTCACTAAGTTTATGGTTTGTTACAGCAGCAAACGGAAACTAATACAGATTTCAGTAAATTATTTAATAAGGTGCATACTTTTGTGAATATTGTAAAATTAAATCTATTTTAAAAATGGATCAGTAAAAATGCAAACACTGAGGCTCTTTTAAAAAAGTAATCCTAATTTATTATAATAATACTTTAAGGCTGTCTGCTTCAGTCTATTTTTAAATGGATTATTTTATTTATAGATCACCATATTTATTTTTTACAACATGAATGATATACCAAAGCAAATGTTAAACACACATATATATTTTTAAGTGAACAGATTGAGACGGGTAGTTGGGATTGACTAAAAATATAATGCAGACTCTTTGAATAGATTATAGTCTCACTTCCTGTTAAGTAACAAGGGTAGAAAATGTAGATGGCTTTCTAAAGCAAGGCAGTAAGCAGTAGATTCACAGCCTAGAATTCTCTGAAAGTCTGTTTTCCACACTGTGACATATACTTGCTTTGGAGGCAGAGAGCTCAGTTTCACACCAACAAGACATTGTCCCCAGATAGAAGACAACTGCCTTTTCACTGTGCTTCTCGCTTAAGGGAGAGAAAGTCTTTCTAAGGATTTTCCAGTAGAATTTGTCTTTCCCCTAACTGATGGGGATCAGACCACATGCCCATTTCCCAACCACCATTGATGGAATGGATGGGGGTGGGTGTCAATCACCTTCATTAGTGAGTTCTGTGTGTTTTCTTCTCTTGTAGTAGATACTTGTCCATGTCTCCTCTATCCTGTAAACAATTTTTATTTAAACTATTACCTGTGTTTTAAATAGGTTTTGAGTTTAGTTCTGAATGGGAGCTTGACGATGACATTATTTCATTGTTTTTCTCAAAAAGAGACAATTTTAGGTTACTTTAGAGTTTGTTGATGTTCTAGAGAGATAAGACTTCCAAAAGCCATCAGCTAAGTGCAGATTTATAGCTGTCTTCACTTTTTTTAGAAAGCCTACTTGTCACATTGGAATGGGTACTTGATTAAGGAAATGGATTTTTTTTTCTTGAAGTCTTATATGATAAATGATAAATATTCAGTTAATTATCTAGAGATATTTATGGACAAATATAAGGGTGAAGAGTATTTGTGTACCTTTTTAATTTATTTATTTTTTACCAGACATCCCTTAAGCACTGTTTTGGTTTTTGATCTGGAATTTTCCCCAAGTCTCATGTGTACAGAGGTGGTGCTTTGGGGTAGTGATTGGATCATGAAGGTTCTTATTTTGATGGATTAGTCCATTGGCAGCAACATGGACTACTGAGGGTGGGTGGGACCTAGTTGGAAGAAATAGATCATTGGGGACAAGCCCTGGAAGGGTTTGTCTCTTCCCCAGATCCTTTCTCTCTCTCTCTCTCTCTCTCTCTCTCTCTCTCTCTCTCTTTTTGCTTCCCACATGCCATGAACTGAGAAGCTTTCCTCTACCATGCCCTTCTGCTGTGATGTTTTTGCATTGGAGCCAGCTGATCATCAACTGAATCTCTAAAACTGGGAGCCAAAATAAACCTTTCCTCTTCTAAGTTGTTTATATCAGGTATTTTGCTCACAGCAATGCAAAGCTGATTAATACAAGTACCTACAAAGTGCTGTATGTTAGGGAAATAGTGAAAGGGTGACATACTGCCATATGTCATCAATTTCCATGGAGCAGGGAGTAGTTCCATAGATGTGAAGTTAGTGGCTGAGCAATTTCACAGCAAGGATGTCAGTCATCCCTTTGAAGCTGGGTGTGCAGTGGGAAAGCCATCTGTGAGGTGTGACTTTAGAGGTGCATTGCCTGATCCCCTAATTTACATCACCCTTCCTGTGCTAACATGGTGCCTACATTCCAATATTAGAGCC